CTCCATTTTCCGGTGAGGAAATTGGGAGTTGAGAGCCCAAGTGACTTGAGTACAATAGAAAGTGGTTCCAGGCCAGGCCTGTGGCCAGCCAGGACACTTTGTACCCCCTCAGCCTGGAGGAGAGGGCTGCAAGAGTGTGCAGACCAGGCCGGGGGAACTCTGCTCTGAGCCCTTCGCAAGGACCCCCTGCTCTCATGATCTGGGGCCACAGGAGCCTCAGCGTAGGGCAGTGAGTCGCCCCATGAGCCTTTGCTGGCAGAGGGGAGGCACGAGCAGGCAGGTGCAGTCCTGAGCCTTCGCCTGCCATCTCCTCTCAAAATGCCTCTTCCTCGGCAGCTCCAGCTTCCCCCCTGGCTGCTCCTCCGTGCTTGGATAGCCGTGGGCTCAGGCCACAAGGCTCCTTGGTTGCAGTGACCTTTCAGCCTCACTCAGCCTGCGAGGCCCTCCCCCCGCCCCCACTTCCCCACCCCCCCACCCCACTCAGCTCCCTATGGCTTCATTTTGCTCTTCAGTGTATGAGGAAAAAGAAAGACACTCATTGCCAGGTGTGACGTGCTTACGTCTTAAGTCAGTGGGGTTAGGAACGGGGGTTCCCTTCTTTCAGGTGGGGCTGCTGAGGTTGGATGGATTAGCTCAGCCCTCCAGGATCCCAAGGCTAGGGGGCTGCAGGCATGCGCCGCCCTAGTGCCCCCTTAGAGACTCGCATCCAAGCTCTCTTCCCTTTTCTGGCAGCCTCACTCCGGGGTCCCACAGTAAGGGCAGGGGGCCCAACAGAGAGAAGGAGTCCCCTCTCACTCCTCTCTGCATCCCCCGCAGAGCCGGCCCGGTGCAGCGTGGACGCACTCCCCGGCCGCTGTGGCCCCGGCCCCGCCTGACAGGATGAGCGGCTCCGACACGGGGCTGGAGGAGGAGCCGGAGCTCAGCATCACGCTCACGCTGCGGATGCTGATGCACGGGAAGGTGCGGAGTGGCTTGGCTTGGCCGTGGGAGGGGCAGAGGGCAAGCTGAGGGCAGGCCCATCCATGGGCAGGCCTCATTTTAGTTGGCTGGCCTCTGGAGGAGCTGTGGGGGTTGTCGGGAGGAGGGGGGAGGGGGCTTTGGTACCCCCATGACTCGTTCTTGTCTCTTTGCAGGAGGTGGGCAGCATCATCGGGAAGGTAGGTGCCAGCTCTGCGCCGTGCCCGCTGCTTCTTGGGGCTGCGGCCGCTCAGGCTAAGCGTGAATCTGTTTTGTTTCCCACAGAAAGGAGAGACCGTAAAGCGAATCCGGGAACAGGTGAGGACGGTGTCTGGGGATAGTTGGGGGAGGTCCTGGTTCTACCTTCTCTCTGAACCCCACCATCTTGCTAGCCCCTGTCCTTAGTGGGGAGCACAGGGGTCAGACAGGTTGGTGGTGGGGCTGGGATGTGCCTCAGTGGCATGGCAGAGACCTTGCTTGTGTGAAGTCCTGGGTTTGGTCTGCGGTACCAACTTCTGGGAAGAAGTGGAGAAGATGCCCCCCTACCTGTGGCTTGTCCTCTGCCCACAGAGCAGTGCCCGGATCACCATCTCTGAGGGCTCCTGCCCTGAGCGCATCACCACCATCACCGGTTCCACTGCAGCTGTTTTCCATGCAGTCTCCATGATCGCCTTCAAGTTGGACGAGGTCTGCAGTGGCGGGCGTGGAGGCCAAGGGACACTTCCTACCCCAGAGCCCAGCATGGGGGCGGGCAGCCCAGGGTGGGACTCTCGCCCTGGAGTGGGACTTGGAGTGGGTCGGGTTCCTCCTTCATCCCTTAGCAGGAAGGTGGTCGCGGTGCCAGCGGGGGGCACAGTGAACCCGTCGTCTCTCTGCCCAGGATCTTTGTGCCGCACCTGCTAATGGGGGAAGTGTCTCCAGGCCACCAGTGACCCTGCGCCTGGTCATCCCTGCCAGCCAGTGTGGCTCGCTGATTGGGAAGGCTGGCACCAAGATCAAGGAGATCCGAGAGGTGAGGGGAGAGGGGCCTGCAGGCCCGGAGAATGGTGGGTCTGGCCTTAGGACTGCCTGTCTCCTGGGCATCTCTGAGTCTGGGTGCTGGGAGCAGCCAGAGGTGACCCCTGTCCTCTCCTCGCAGACCACTGGTGCCCAGGTGCAGGTGGCAGGAGACCTGCTCCCCAATTCCACGGAGCGTGCAGTCACCGTATCTGGGGTTCCTGATGCCATCATCCTGTGTGTGCGCCAGATCTGTGCTGTTATCCTGGAGGTGCTGCCCTGGGGCCGGAGGGCATAGGGGTGGGGCTGGCCCTGAGAGACCCTCAAACCCTGTGCCTGTCACAGCAGGTGTGGGTGGGGCAGGGTTAGAAGACTGGGGCTCCAGGAGGTCAGAGCCGGCTTACTGGGTGCTGTGCCTCATGAACACAGGTCCCTTGGGGAGGGGGTGGTCAGTGGGGGCCTGAGTAGATCCTGAGACCACTTCTCCATTGTGTCCTCCAGTCCCCACCCAAAGGAGCCACCATCCCGTATCACCCAAGCCTCTCTTTAGGGACTGTCCTTCTCTCCGCCAATCAGGTGAGGGGGAACAGTAGTGGTGGGGGGGGACTTACCAGGGGAGGAGGTATTGGGGGCCAGGGAAAAGGGAGAGGAGTGACTTGCCCAGCTGCCCTCTTTCCTGTCATGGTCACTAACCCCCTCTATCGCTCTGTGTCCCTACAGGGCTTCTCTGTCCAGGGTCAATATGGGGCTGTGACCCCAGCCGAGGTGAGTGACCTATAGCCCAAGCCTCGCCCCCTCCTGAGCCAGGCCTCCTCCGACTCCTGACCCCTCTCATTGGGCACAGGTCAGCAAGCTGCAGCAGCTCTCTGGCCACGCCGTTCCCTTTGCCTCACCCAGCATGGTGCCAGGTAAGCAGCCTGGCTGGGGGCAGGTGCCTTAGGGAAGGCAGCACCCCTGGGCTGGACCTGGGAGGCAGGAAAACCCAGATCCTTTTCTCCCCACCCCATGCAGGACTGGATCCTGGTGCCCAGACCAGTTCACAGGAATTCTTGGTTCCCAATGATGTGAGCAGGACAGATGGGATATTGGCGAGCAGGGAGGAGGGCTCTGGGGTCTGGGCCTCGCCCTGTTGAATCACACCCTCTTCCCCAGCTCATCGGCTGCGTGATTGGGCGTCAGGGCAGCAAGATCAGCGAGATCCGGCAGATGTCAGGGGCTCACATCAAGATTGGGAACCAAGCAGAGGGCGCTGGGGAGCGGCACGTGACCATCACTGGCTCGCCGGTCTCCATCGCCCTGGCCCAGTACCTCATCACTGCCTGGTGAGTGTGGGGTGCGGTGGATTTGCTTGCCTGGGGAAGGTACAGGTGGGGCTGGGGGCGCTGACCGTCTTTCTCTGAGCCTGTCCTCTGCCATCTCGACCCTGCCTGACTCGTTCCATGTTGCCCCATCTCCCCTCTCTCTACGTCCCTCATGTCCTTTCATCACCCATGTCTCCCCTCCCGGGATCTTTGGCCTCCCTTCTCCACCCCTCCCGGGACCAGCCTGCCCTTCCTTCCCCTCCTCACCATCCCTGCCCCATGTCCTATCTCCCCCGAACACGTCCACCCCAGGTCAATGTTCTCCTCAGCTCCTCTCTCCTGTTTCCATCTAATTTCGTCCCTTCTCTCACCCCGCCTTCCCCTTCATCTCCCCCATATATCCTTCTTTTCAGTCTAGAAACGGCCAAGTCTACCTCTGGGGGGACGTCCGGCTCGGCCCCTGCAGACCTGCCTGCCCCCTTCTCACCACCCCTGACCGCCCTGCCCACGGCTCCCCCAGGCCTGCTGGGCACACCCTATGCCATCTCCCTCTCCAACTTCATCGGCCTCAAGCCTGTGCCCTTCTTGGCTCTACCACCTGCTTCCCCAGGGCCGCCTCCGGGCTTGGCGGCCTACACTGCTAAGATGGCAGCGGCCAATGGGAGCAAGAAAGCTGAGCGGCAGAAATTCTCCCCCTACTGACGCTGGCAGAGGCACAGGCGCAGGCGCAGGGGACCACTGGCAGGGGGCTGCCTCTGCACCCCACCTGCCCAAGGAAACTCCAAATGCCGCTAATGCCCAGACGCATGGATGCACCCCTTCACCCTGCCCCAGCCAGCGGGGAGTTCCTTCTCTTGGATGGGTGCAGATATGGGCCCAGGGTTCTGGGAGCTGCAGCAGCACCAAGATAGGGGTTCTACCCCTCCCCCAGCTCTGTGCTTGGATGCGGGGAGCATCCTTAGTGCTTTGGGAGGGGAGAGGGATTACTTACGCCCTCTCCACTCCTTAGGGCTTCCTAGCTTACTGCCCCTCCCTCGGTGGGGATCAGGGAGGAGGGCTGGGGGCCACGCTTCTCACCTCACCTCCCTGCAGATTCCTGCTGCTTCCACTGATACCTTTTTGACTGGAATGGACTGGCTGGGCCTGGCAGAGGGCAACTCAGAGAGGGAGCGCTGCTGGGGAGCGGGGGGTGGGGGTGGGGGAGCGGTAAGGGGGAAGGGGCCGCATTCTCGGCAGCAGACACTCTGTACAGTTTTTTCAATCCCTGTTTTTGAATAAATATTCTCAGAGACCAGGAAGCTGTGAAACACTGTGGGTGTTGGGGATGGCAAGTTCCCTAGGAAATGGGTGTAGCCGAGGCTCCGGGGGACACCCCCCATCTGTGAATCCACAAGTTCCAGCTGGGCCCTGGCCCCTTCCACATGTCAGTTCTGGGAATTCAAGACCCTTAGAATACCATGATGTACAGCCTTCTGCCTCTGGCACCAAACGGTACCAGGTGTTAGCCGGACCTTTTAGAAACAGATGGAGAAATTCCAGCAGCTTTGACCGGCCTCTCCTCAGCCCAGACGTCAGGGAAGTCTTCCTGAATTTCTCTCCACTCATTCCTCCTGCTGTGGCTGGAACCTGGGCCCTGCCCTGTTCGGCCCATCCTTTGGCTGTGAGCCCTAGGGCCCTCTCCTGTGTCCCTGCCCACCTCTGCTCCTTTGGCCTCGCCACCATCCATCAGTGTCCAAGCCACCTTAGTCACAGTCCAGAATACAGAGGGAAAGCCAAGGTCTATGGAAGGAGTGCACAAGAACACAAGGGGCAGCAGTCCTGGCTCCCAGAAGCCTCTGGGCCTCCCCAGGCAGCGGGGGTCTTTCCACCTGTTGCAGAGCTGGAAGTCAAGGCAGGGCACCTGCCAACGTTTGTGCAGGAGGCTGGACAGGCCCCTTCTGATACCACCCTCCTTTCTCCAGTCCTGGGCTCGGCGTGTGTGAGGGCTCTCCCCTCAGGTGGCCTCCAGCATCTTCAGATTCCTTTCTAGCCAACGCTCGGGCTTGATCTGATGCTTTTGCAGGGCCCTCTGGAGGCCCGTGGAGGTGCTGCAGCAGTGCCCGCGGGTGCCAGGCCTTTGGCATGCAGGCCCTCGGAGGCCTGGGCAGTGCTCGGCGGGCCAGGCGGCGCAGCGCCCTGCGCACCGGGCGCTGCAGCAGGCCGTACAGGAAGGGGTGCACCGCGAAGGCCGAGTAGGCCACCCAGGTGACGGCCGTCTCTGCCGCAGCGGCCTGCACTGCGGGCGCCAGGCACGCACAGCCGTAGGGCAGCCAGCAGGCTGCGAACTGGCCCACGGCCAGCGCTGGGGCCAGGGCTGCCTTGGCCCCGGGCAGGCGCGGCCGGAGGGGCGGCAGGATGGAGACGCGGCTGTCCAGCGAGTCGGAGCGAGGCCGAGCCCCGCGCGCGGGCCGCGGGGGCCCCAGGGCAGCGCGGCGCGCCACCAGGAAGATGCTGCCGTAGGCGCCGAGCAGCAGGAGGGCGGGCAGCGCGAAGGCCAGCAGCGCCCAGAGCGGCCGGAAGGGCCCGAGGCCCCCCGCCAGCACGGAGCAGCTAGCTGGGGCGGGGGGCGGGGCGGGCGGCGGCCCGAGCAGGGCGAGCGCGCCCAGCAGCCCGGCCGCGGCCCACACGGTGGTGAGCACCAGGCTGGGCGCGGGCCGCGCGCCCGGACGCAGCGGGTGCACGATGAGGCGGTAGCGCGCCAGGCCCAGCGCCGCCACGGCCAGCGTGCAGGCGGGCAGCAGCGCCGCCGAGAGGAAGCGCGCGGCGCGGCAGGGCGCGGGGCCCAGGCGCACGCGGCCCAAGCCCGGCGGCGAGGCCAGCAGGCCCAGCGGCATGATGGTGGCGGCCGCCAGCAGGTCCACGATGCACAGGTGCACCAGGTAGAGCGCGTCGCGCAGCCCTGGCGTGCGCAGCACCACGACCAGCAGCCCGCCGTTGCCCAGCAGTGCGGCCACCTCCACGGCTGCCGCCAGGAGCAGTGCCATCGAGCCTGGAACCCCTGTGCCGGGCAGCCCTGTGGTGTTGGCCATCCGCGCGCTCAGGCTTCACCCTGTGCTGGGAGAAGAAATGGAGAGTCTCCTCCTCCAACCCCACCCCCCACCTCCCTGCCCAGCGCTGGGCCCATGCTCCTCTGGCCCCTCACCTCACAGGCTGTCCAGGCGCTGGCTCCGTTTCGCGGGTGGCCATCTCCTTGGGAGCTTAGCCGGCCCCATGCAGGGCACAGCCGGCTGGGACTGTGGGCTCGTTTCTCTACCCCAGCGACTCAGCTCCTGCTGGGGATGGTACTGGCTGTCACTTTGATGTCGCCTTTGGAGACAGCAGAGCTGGCAAGGGAGGGGCAGGGCCTGGCACCACACCCGCCCTCTGGGTCCTAGCAGCTGGCAGCTGGAGGCTAGAGGCTCTGCTGTGGCAGCGTCGGGGGTGCCTCCAAGGCCGGTCCAGAGTAGGGACACACAATAGGCAGGAACTGGAATGTGTTAGTGACAAGAACCGGAACAGTGCGAGACCCAGGGACCCTCTGAACACCAGGAAAGCTAGATCTCTTAGAAAGTGAGTGCTGGATAAACCTGGGGGGTGGGGGAGGGTAAATCAACGGCTTGACACATAGTAGACACTTGATATTTAGTAACTTTGCATAGCTGCTTCATGATAGTGTAAGAAGTAAATGCCAGCAGGCCTTGGGGGACAATGGCTGATGTTAGTCTTAGTTGCTGCTAGCAAACAGGTCCGCTTAATGCTACCTGAACTATTGCCAGGAAACCACTGCAGCTCTGAGGACATGTGGGCTAGGGCGCTGTGGGCAAGATCCCACATTCCATGTTCCTGGTTAGGTTTGAAATCCAGTCCTTATCAGCATATGGCACCTGCCAGATGGTTGACTCAGGAAAAGCCCTGCAACTCTTGATTTTCCCCTCCAGGTTTTGGGCTACATCCGGTTGTGCTCAGGGCTTACTCCGGGCTCTGTGCTAGGGATCAATCCTGGTGGTGTTCAGGGGACCATATGTGTTGCTGGGGATCAAACTGGGGTCAGCTGCTTCAAGCACCTTAAGTCGCCTCCTCTGGCCTCCCAGAGCCATGTGACTCATACGAATTACAGTTTTAAACCTCCATCCACCCCCTGACAAACTTTGCATCCAGAGTACCTTCTCTCTTCAGTCCCCAGTTTGGTTATTCAGCTGCTTCTTCAGCATCTCCCTCTGTACTTTCAGTTCTGGGCATCTCTAACTTCTTATGTCCCAAACAGTAAGATGACTCTTAAAACAAATTGGAGGTAGGGAGACACCCAGTGGTGCTCAGGGGCTACTCCTGGCTCTGCTTAGGGGTTGCTTCCTGTGGTGCTTGGGGGCAGTGTGGTTGGAGGGTTGGAAGTCAAGCCTCCTACACACAAAGCATGTTTTCAGCCTGCAGAGCTATTTGTCCAGTCCCCAAACAGAAGGATGCGTCGTGACCCTGCCCACCTACTCCTCTCAGTTTTCTCCATCTTAACAGACTCCGCCTCCGAAGTTCCCATGGATGCCTCTTACCATTTAATTCGTTGGCATATCTGAATACAGCCAGTGTTCGCCATCACTCCCTTGGCCCCGGCCACCATCTGTCTCCTGGACCATGTCAACGTCCTCGTCACCGATCTCCTGCCCTCTGGTCCTGTGCCTGTTTCTGATCATTTGCCCAAATCTGTTCCCCATTTCCCCCAGTTTTCCTCAGTGATGCTTTGCTTATCAGAGAACTGTGCTTGCCATACTTCCTTGCCAATGGGCTTTTAGGTATATTTGACCAGGTGTATTGGAATTACAGGCTTGCTCATGTGTCAGATGGATCAATAGCTTCTTTTGACACATTGAGAGCGCGTGAGTCAATATGAATTGGGGTTTCAAAAAGGGGAAAGGTGAAATCAAGGTCAGGGGTCTCCACACTAGCAGGGACCCATTGTTAACCTGACGGAATCTAGGTCTTCTGAATTCCCTTATCAGAACCTGGTAACTGAAACACAGCAGGAATGTTAGTTCTGGGCGTTTCTGTCCTCTGTTAGGGTGTTTCTACCTTTCAGCACTGCACTTCCTCCCTCAAAAGGAGGCACAAAGCTGAGTCTCCTTCTCACTCTCAGCCTGGGGTGTTGCCTCTCCCTCTGGGGAAACAGCCTCTCTCCATGGCGGCTGATTTGGGCAGGACAGCCCCACGGGGCCATTGAATACCTTTTGCTTCCATCATCCCTCCCGACTCTAGGTGAGAACCACTTCATGATTCCTGCTAATGCCTGGATTGTCTTATATCCTCCCCTTTGCTGGTTCAGTTTCTTCCCTGTGATGAATTGTAGATTTTTTTTTTGTGGGGGGGGTCAGACCCAGTGGTGCTCAGGGGTTACTCCTGACTCTGCACTTAGGAATTACTTCTGGTGGTGCTCAGGGGCCCATATGAGATGCCGGGGATTGAACCTGGGTCGGCCACGTGCAAGGCGAACGCCCTCCCCGCTGTCCTATTACTCCCTTGTGATGAATTCTTGCCTGGAAAGTTTAGAGTGATTTCAGTTTTTTGAATACGATTTTTTTAAATATTTTTTTTTCCTTTGGGGCTGCACTCCGTAGTGCTCAGGTCTTGCGGTCTTGCTCCTGTCTCTGCTCAGGGGTCGCTTCAGACAGTGCTGGATAACCAGGCAGTGTCAGGGAAGGATCTCAAGCAAGATGAGTGTCTTATCCCATTCAGTTACCATCTTTCCTAAAATCATCCTACTTTCCTGTCACTCCCTTTTACCCTATTATTCTGGAACTTTCTGCTTGCTAAACCATTTTATATCTGTATGTGTTTGTTTAGAAGCCGAATTTCTAGACGACACGCTTCAGAGGAGCAGGAACCTGGTCTCTGTTTGCTGACCAGTGCCCTAAGGCCCATGGCAGGTATGCAGTCAGCAGTCCCAGGCAGCAGAGACCAGGGAATGGGCTGCCGGGTTTGACTAATTTCCTATTGGAATCTGAATGGCTGTGGGTCAGACTTTCCACAAATCAGATGAGAAAACAAAAGCCTTGAAATGGAATAGATGTTCCAGATCATCTAGCTGACTTGTACGTGGAGCCCAGGTCACCTATTCCTAACCTCTGTCCACATAGAACCAATTCCTGCACCTGGCCAAAACTTGAGCATGTGACTCGACACTAGAAAGTGAAGCTGGAATTCTGGAGGTCTTGGTTCAGAGGAAGAAGAAGACCAAAGCCTTCCCAGTTAATTGAAGCCTGAAGGGCTGGGCAGCCCCTGAGCCACCAGGGACCCCATTAAGGAGGATTGCAGAGTGCATTCTCCCTTCGGAATCTCCTTCCCTCCCTCTCTCCCTCCCTCCCTCCCTCCTTCTTTCTTTCTATCTTTCCTTCTTTCTCTCTTTCTCACATTCAGCAATGCCCAGGACTTACCTCTGGTTCTGTGCTTAAGAATCACTCTTGGTGAGCTCAGAGGACCATGTGTGGTGCTGGGGATCAAACACTGGTCAGCTGCGTGCAAGGCAAGAGCCCCCTACCTGCTATACTCTCTTCTGATTTATATATATTTTATCTTTTTATTTGCAAAACCTAAACCAGAAAGTAATGATCTTGACTTCCTACCACAGGTTGGAGGGAACAGAAGAAAAGAACTGGGAGAGGACTTTGGAACATAGTTGTGGTTTTTTTTTTTTTTTTTTTTTTTTGCTTTTTGCTTTTTTGGGTCACACCTGGCATTGCATATAGGTTATTCCTGGCTCAGGCACTCAGGAATTACTCCTGGTAGTGCTCGGGGGACCATATGGGATGCTGGCAATCGAACCCAGGTCGGCCGCATACAAGGCAAACGTCCTACCCACTGTGCTATCACTCCATCCCTGGAACATAGGTTTTTGTATAGAATGGACCTTTGGAGCTATGTTCTACTTATTGTTCTACTTATGTAGAACTATGTAGAACTGTATTTTACTTATGCTGATGTTCTACTTATTGAATCAGTAAAGGTGGGGAAACCTCCCTAAAAGTTAAATAAGCAGAATCAAATGTGATTATATGTGAACAACAGAAGAGAAATAACCAGTCCTAGTAACATTTAAACTGTGTTCAGTTTATTACTTTATTCATTGGCACTCAGCCTAAATAAACCTGAATACTAACTCTAGCAGAAACTTAGAAAGTTTGTTTTCAAAACAGCATGAGTACAGCAATTCTTTTTTGTTTGTTTGTTTATTTTGTTTTGTTTTCTTTTTGGGTCACACCTGGCCATGCACTGGGATTACTCCTGGCTCTGCACTCAGGAATTACCCCTGGCGGTGTTCAGGGGACCATATGGGATGCTGGGAATCGAACCCAGGTTGGCCGCATGCAAGGCAAATGCCTACCCGCTGTGCTATTGCTCCAGCCCCCACAGCAATTCTTTGTTGTTTTTGTACCACACGCAGAGGTTCTCAGGGGTAACTCCTGGCTCTGCACTCAGGAATTACTCCTGCTGTGCTCGGGGGACTATACAGGATGCTGAAGATCGAACCTGGGTTGACCTCATGCAAGGCAAGCACCTAACCCATTGTACTATTTCTCCAGCTTGAGTCTAGCAATTCCGAAACTGTTTTTGTATGGGAGTAGGCAGAAAAAACGTTTTGTGTGGGATTGAAGGGAACCTGGGTTTTTACAACTCAGAAGGGGAGGAATTGATTCTGTTAGGGAAGAATGGAAAAACCCTAGTATTGGGTTGGAATTGGAGAAACAGAAATGGATAAAAAGGACCCCCCCACACACACATCCTATTTTCTAGCCCTCTGCTATGAGGACTTAAAAGCAATGACACCTCTGTACCAGGAAACTTACCTGCTGCCCAGATATAAATACTACTTCTAAGTCTAGGGAACCAGGGTGCCTTGAAGTTTTGTTCAAGATAAGCCTAGAAGTAAGAAAGTAAACTGGAAAGTAAGCAAGTAATCAAAAGCGGATGGAGGGGGCTGGAGTGATAGCACAGCGGGTAGGGCGTTTGCCTTGCACGTGGCCAACCCAGGTTCAATTCCCAGCATCCCATATGGTCCCCTGAGCACCGCCAGGAGTAATTCCTGAGTGCAGAGCCAGGAGTAGTAACCCCTGTGGATCGCCGGGTGTGACCCCCCCCCAAAAAAAAAAAAAGCTGATGGAGGAGCAAGCAGAAGTCAGTTTGAAGAAGTTCCTCTGGATGAGCTCTGGGACAATTGTGATAGATCAAGTGATGGAACATATGCCTGGGGTGTGTCTGTGAATTCAGCCCCTGGCACCATGTAGCCCTCATGGAGC